TGCCTTGAATTTTTTTTTCTAAAAATAGATTTACTATGTTTTTCTTAATAAAAATCTTGTGTAACAATGTCTCGTAGGGTCATTTTCAAGGCAAAAACCCCCCATATGCTTCTGGTTACACGATGTTTTTTAAAACTGCTTAATTTTTTTAAAAATTTTATTACATAAATTTAAACAAATTTGATTGGTTATTTGGTTTAATATTTCCCATTTTTAACTTTTCATACATGATTATATAAAAATATACAGTATACTATATTTTTAAAGCTATATACTTATTTTTAAAATAAAGCCATTAAGTTGTAGTAAATTGTTTTATATAGCTACAAAATAGTAACTTCTTTTTTTAAATATCTTTTTAGATCATAATTTATAGTTTGTATAATTTTTAAGTGTCATACACAGTATTTCACAAACATAATTTCTAGCAAATCTACAATGTTACTACAGTAATTTGGAAAACAGCTAGAAACTGTGGTAATAACGATAATAGTCTATCATTTTTAAAACATAATTTTAAAATAAACAAATAAATACAATATCAACAAGGAATTTATATCGATATATATAAGTTATATAAAACTTTAATTAAACTTTAATGTATAGTTCGAATACATAAACCTAAAATTCCAGGACTAGGACTTAGACTGGATCTAAGTTAACTTAGTCCTAGAATTGGTTATAAAGATTTAGTCCATAAGTCCATGCGATAAAACCTATAGGTTATAGGATCAGGGCCGGACTAGAACTGGACTTTGCTATCTCTAATTAAAATTTTGATTCGTACGAACTAGTAAGCTAAATACTGGATCAGTATATTTAAATAAAATAGACAAATACTATCCTATTATTGTTTTACAGCCAGAACGTATTATGAATTCGTTATTTCCGAGTCTTGTAACTAATGTTTTTCGTATAGATGCTGGTGAAATTAATTTCATCAATTCACCACCAATTTCACCAATAGTGGTGAAATTATTTTACCAGCATCTATATTTTTCGCAAACCTCATTTGGCTTGTAAATATCATAATTCGATAATTATTCACATAACGATGAAAATTTAATAACCATGATATCAACTCATTAATCATTCGAATCACATGATCTGTAAATTTTTTGGGTGGCGGTTTTAACCCCGGTTGTCGAAAGTCCAAAATTTAAATTAAAGCCAGTTAAACAATTAATTGTTAAAAAATTTTTTCAATTCCTGATCATATATATATAATTAAAGTCAAATAAAACAAATAAAAAAAACTTTCAAAATAAATTATAAAAAATTCAAAATATACTATATTTAGAAAGTCAAGCACGGACATTTATATTTGCAGCATGAAAAGGTACTCAGTTTATCACCCAGGTGACCCGAAAATCATGAGAGGCATATAAACTCATAGAAAATCATCTATAATCTCCATGCCTCTCATGCCTGGAATCTCGATCCCATCCTCAATCAGCTTTTCTATAAAAGGTTTGAGGATGGGATCTTTCCTGGGATCGTAACCTGTTTCCCTAATTTTTTCTTGCCAACTTTTGCCATCTTCCAGGATGGATTTTTTTTGTGGGGGTTGCACATCGTAATCTGGCACTTCTTGAAGAGCCGAAAAAATCATTTCTTCAGTATCTTCATTATATGGTTTCTTTTGTGCTTGTTTAAATGTGGATGTATCAGCTGATGGCAAAGTTGGCGTCCCTTTTGTTACTGAATTTACGTCTTGTTTTTGTTGTTTGAATTTGTCCAGTCCGCTTTGTTGCGATTGTCTGAGTGGATTGAATAAAGTTTTTGTGCTTTCTTGTCTTTGTCTAAATTTTTCATTTCCAATCATTTGCGCTTGTTTAAAAGGATTTATTTGACGTGTTGGTGAATTTTCCTCGTGATATCCGTATCGACTGATAACATCATTATCATTCTTTTTGCATTTATTAGAGAGCTTAATATGATACTCTTTCCATGTTTCATAAAATAAATATTTCACACCATAGTCGGTATACTTCATTAAATGATGCTTTTGTGGTTCATATTGAAATCTTTTGAAAAAATTTTCCTTAAACCTTTGAACAGAAACAGCTATTCTTTCTTCAACAAAAGAAAATCGTTGCTCCTTTTCCCATTGTTTTGAAGGTCTTTTATCTTCATGTGTTTCCATATATTCTTTCGTGATTTTTTCGATATGTTCTGAAGCTTCTTTGCCAAAGTTTTTGATAAAACTTTCGACATTTTCTTTGAATTTTTTTTGTTGTTCTTCTACTTTTTTATTTTCTGGCTCGATGTTCATGTCATCATTAAGCATTATATATTCTTTAGTATCTTTCAGATACAAATCGACGTTCCTTTGGAAAAGTTTTGTAAGGTCACTGAGCTTCATTATGGATGAAAATAAAATCGCGTAAATTTATCGATTTGATTGGTTAATAAATGTAAACAATAAACGCAATAAAATCCAATAACTGATAAGCATCTCAAATAACGGAAAATCATCACGCGGGCACAGCATAACTCCCAAAATAATCACATGATAACAATT